CGCTGTTTGATGTGATCGTTGTGCTCTCCCCACTCAGGTTACATCCTAGGCAAGGGAGGTTTTTCCTTATCCTTGCTCCATGTTTTTTTTTACCCTTTATCCTGTCCCCTTTCTCTCYCCACCTTCTTCTCACCCTCTTTCTGTATGTTTTTCCCTTTTCAATTCTTCCAGCAAAAACTTAAAAAGGTTCTTCTCATTTGTCAAGGCAAACAAAAGCAAGCTTGAATAAAGATACGCTGGATGGGTTTTAGAGCAAAGCAAAATCATAATGTCTTTAGAAATGTAGTGAATCTAAAAGCTTAAAGGCTTTGCTCTGAATCAATGACTCAAAAGATTTATGTCAGTGAATAACTGGGCAACATATCATCATCCTTTCTGATTTCCCACCTCCTTCAACCAAGCTTCTAAAAATAAAACATCAGAGTGAGATCTGATGTGTTGAAGGGGAGTGGAGGAAAAGGAAGGAAATTCTGAGAACATGTGAATAGTGGGATCCCTGTGACARCTTCTGCTTTAGTGCTGGATGTGCTAAACTTTACAATAAGCAATTTCTGTTGATATTGCAACAGGGTAAATGTTTATTGCTGGGGTGCCAACCTGTACCTCACGAGTTGTGCGTGCAAAGGCAGCTTCTGTGTCAGGGTTACCTCAAAGRGAATGATAGATCCATACTGGGTAATGCAAATCCCCATCTGGGAGATGAAATGAGCTGTAAGGACCTGACAAAGTCAGTAATGCTGTGGGTGGCTTACCTGCATGTTCAGATAAATCTCATCTAGATTAGACAAGTGGAAACCCTGAAGTGGTCTTTTCACCTTCTGCCTATGAACCACTCCTAGAACAATCCCTGACCCATGTATGTGATAAATATCTTGGGCCAAACATTATTTACAGGCCAAAGAATGCTGGTCTATCTTATGTGCTAGGCATAAGAGAAGAACCACATAACACTGGCTCTCCAATTATTTTCAAAAATAATAGAGAAAATCTGATACACGTGTGAGCAAAAGAACWCATGAAACTTGTTTTATTCTGACTGTGATCTGATTCTGTAGTGCCTAAACAGCTTAAGTTCTTGCTTACACAAGGCTGAGTTATTCATAACACTACTTTTAAGTTTGGATTTCCTCCCTGTTGAAAAGAAAATGTCATCATCTAAACGGATTAAAAATTCAACACATCTCTTCATCCTGGTCCAGTATCTTTTTCCTTAAAATGTAACTTCATGGCTTTTGARACCCTGAAATTAAACAACTTATTCTAAGTTATTTTTTCATATATATATACAGGCACTGTAGGTCATGTTTCCCCAGGAACATGGATCTTAAGAGGTTGTTTGGAAAAGTGGCCAGGTTTAAGTAAGCAATCTTATCTGTGYATCAAAAGGCAGGATTTACACATATAAAGTAAATATAGGAGTCATTTAAACTGTCCTCGATTCTAAAACATACTTCTGGTCTTAATGAAGATTTGAGTGATCTTGCTAAGCCTGCCGGGCCCTGGGTAAGAGTTTCTAACTAAAATATTTTTACAGCAGCTCATCGTTGGCTCCACTATAGGAGAGTCTCCAAGTCTGCCCATTTGTCTTTTCTAGAACTTCTATTCGTTAAGGCAAAAGCTTCTTTCCTAAGTGGATTCAGTGTTAAGCCCTGAAATAAGGGTGCTTATCCCAGTTTCCTGTTGTGGTGGAGTTCTTGTGTTTTGTACAGAGTTAGGAAATTCCAGCTATCTCCTCTGTGGTCCTCTCACCTTACTGTTTTGGAATAGAAGGTTTTTGATCTCCTAAAGTTAGATTCCAGTTTGAACTTCCCCAGTTTTTGGAGAAGCTTGGGTCAGCATCTCTTACAGAAAACAGTCTAGGGTTGAACTCTGAAGCTGRTTCTTTTTGACCAAGCTTACAGATGGCAGGAACCAGTCCCCACTTCAAGCCTTTTATTCACCTCACCTGAGCAGTTAATGCCAGATGTGACAGGCTAGACAATTTGGATCTGCTCTGGTGTATGGGCAGAGGTTTCACGTCTATTTCTGGTTAAAGATTCTGGCTATTCTTTACTTGTTGTGAACTCATAAACCCTCTGCCTGAGATAACTTCACAGTTTAGTACTATGGCAGGAATTCCTCCATGTCAGCTTTCCAGCAGCTGTTCCATAGCTTGAGCATAAAGTCACCATTTCCCCTCAGGCCCTGCTGCTGTTTCTGGGTGGAGGAGGGGTGGGGATGCTGTTCTTGCACACAGTGGGAAAAGGGAGCTGGGGAGGGTTGAAGAAAATTGGAGAAGGACAGGAGGCTCAGGGAGCAGCAGCTGCTGTTGTTAMAAGTGAAAGCACTGCAAAACACTGTCCTTTTCATTCCTTCCCCCGCATACCCAGCCTGCAGTGAGAAGAATAGCAAACAAGTAGAATAAAGATATGCTGCTATACCCCAGGTCCTACAAGGAGTTAAARAGCCATCAAATACAGGAATAGAACTTGACCCTTTTCTCAAGGTTTCGGACAGATTCTTCAGTGCCATCTGTTGTGGTTGAAACTAAGGTGAAAGGAATCAATGCTGAATTCTACATCTGAGGAAGCTTTTAAAATAACAAGTTTCTTGACACTCAGATCATCAAATACAAGATTTTTCCCTGTTTYCCAGCAGGAAATTTAATGGGATACAGACAGCTCTGTTCTTCCTTCTGATGATCCTCCCTGGAATATCTTTATTAGTTTAATAGAACTGACTGGTCTAAACGTTTTAATGCAAAATTTAGGACATRTGATAGCAATTTCCATTCAAGTGCAATGGCACAAAGGTACAAGCAAGCACCAGAACTGCAATCTCTTGCTGCTTTGAGATTGCAAAGCAATCAACATACATTGGGTTCTGACTTTAGCTGTCTTCTCAGAGAATCTTTTTATTATGTCTGTCTAAAAATATCCAAGATACTAACTACCTGGGAAATGGAAGTACTGTTAGCCCTGGTGAGCTCTTCTCTAGCCTCTCCTCCAGGAGCCTTGTGTGGTTTGGTCCCGGCTSCCTGTCTGCATCTTGGCTCAGATGCTAGAAGGAGCTGAGCAGACAGTTCATTAGCAGCAGAACAGGGATTTGATTTTTCAAGGCCATATCTGTGGACCTGAGAGGTGCCTGGAAATAGAATATGTAAGAGAGGAGTGATGGGGAAGAGATTTTTCCCTCTGGGTAATAGGAATAAGAGCTGATYTCAAATATTTACTTCTGATATCAACACTCTTCAAGGAAGATGCTCCTTTCACAATACCCTTTCCTAGTGCTGTGGGCWCATTTTAAGGTCCTTCAGGAGAACTGTGCTGTTTGTAGAAAAAGGGTTTCTTCTTGCCTGTGCTTCCCCTAGGAAAGGATATGACACTTGGCAGGGATGTGACAGATTTCCAGCTTGATTTGGTCATTGGCCTCTACAGCACAGAGAGCATTCTTGACCTCTTGTGGAGGGTATCTAGAGGTTATTTCTTCCTGGATTTGAATAGGAAGGGTAATAGTAGCGTATGTGGGGGGTACAGGGTACATAGTCTTCCCTCAGTTTCCTAAGAGTGACTAATACAAAATCAATGAAAGTATTTTCGTATAAAAACTTCCTACATCTTCATTTTCTTATTAATCTTATGATTGGCACACAGTATTTAGGGAGAGAATTTATCAGTGCTTGTTTTCCCAATTACATTTTCCCTATTCATTGCTGTTTTGCACACAGACTTTGGTGCAAATGAATTTTTCAGAACTTAGTAGCTTTTACATCTGAAAGAGAAAGTATTTAAGAACAAGCTTTTTGTTCTCAGTACAATGATTTTAAAATCCATGGCCTAAAAGGACTTGGAGAGTTGTAACAAGATCTGTTCAATGAGGCCTAAGACTAGAGAAAAATGGTTGCCTGTCATAAAGTAACCTGAAATACTTGAAAACCAGATCAAGTATGATTTTGAATATTTCTTGGTTCTGATGTCGTATCGTTATGCAACAATGATTTTATATCAATGTTATTGTTAATAGCGATACACAATCTGTATTTTATCTGGATTGAATAGGCCAGGCTAAAGGAGCTATATATGAAGTTTTAGTATTAAAACAGATGTTGTTACAAGGACTGATRAGATAAACATTTCTTCCTTGATGCTTTTGGGTGCTGTGATAAGAGAATTTCTCCTTTTATCTTTCCCAAGTTAGAAAGAAGCTCAAACTAGATAAAACCGTGCTAGGAATATCTAGTCCATTTCTTTTTCTTCTTTTTTTTTTCTGGACCTAATCAACTGGTCACAAGGTCATGAGAAAATGTGATGAGAAAGAGTCAGTCTGTAGTGGTGGAAGTGCCCCTGGTCACAGCTGTGAGCCCTGGTGAGTGGTGGTTGGTGTGGGCTGCAGCTCAAAAGAGGAAGGATTAAGTAGCAGCAGGGACGTACCAACAAAGTTTTGTGGTCCCAAATGTGCATAATGCCCCCAATTTAGGAACTGTTGTATGCTTCCATATCAGCCTACATGACCTGATGTCCTTTSTAACTCTGTAGAGGGGATGTAACTAATCATGGTGGAATCTAGCTTTGTCTGTCCATGAATTGTTGGATTTTRAATAAGCACAGCCACACAAAATGAATGTAGGGTACAGAGATGGTAACTGTGGTTTTTACCTTGGGTTGGTTGAAGTAATTGGAATCTTCAAGTATTTTATCATGTATGTGTAAAGGGGTGGAAGGGCAGACATGCCATAGCATGCACCTTCCACTCTGCCTGGGGATGGTATTCTCATAATACTAGAGGAAAGTTCAGCAAAATATTTACTCTCAGTAATTATATCTTGGCTTTCTGTTAAGGGTAATTTCAGTCTTTGCAGTTGCCTTCATATATCCAGAGAGTAGAGTGACAAAACTGCTTTTCTTCTCTCATCTTGATTTTACTTCCACCTCCATTTTTACTGCATGGTRTCATAGCTTTTCAACCAAACAAGCAGCAAAGAAGCCAGCAGCCCTGATCAGTAATCTCTCTGTTCCCCATAGGTAGAGATGAAGAACTTGTTCCTTCTGCTCATGTTCACAATGATGTCACCTTCTGCAACTTCTGTAAGTAAATGCTCATCTGATCACTCTTACAAGAAATGAAAGGTACTTCTGTTAAGAACTGTCAGCATCTGGAACTCAAGTGCTCTGTAGAAAGTATTTCTGAAAGGGCTAAGAGGTTCAAGTCATCAGGCCTATTGTGGYACATCTTATGAAAAGTCTAACATGGCAATTAAATAATAGAATTCTGGTAGTGCCTTTGGTTCTAGAAATGTTATCTGCAAAGCAGTAATTGCTGTCTCCTGCTTCAAAGCTAGAGAGAGYTATCACTTGAAATAAAGGGAATGGATTTTTGGTTAGCTCATTTTTCTCTTTTCTTTGGTCTTAGAAGTATTAGCCATGTGGTTTCGTTTTACTGGGAGAGGTTACTTTATTTTAAGCCCATTTGATATTATCAGAAAAAGAATGCAGCTATTAAGAACTGTGAATCTTCTTCCTTTCTGAGTGAGAAGTAGACTCTTTCTGAAGTAAATGCAGCTTGAGAGCAGTTTCCCTGACTTGAAGTTAAACTTTATTAGTGAGTTGGACATCTAAGCTAAAAGATGACCTGCAGAGTAGAGTGGAAGTCTWAGCAAAAGGAGACATTACAGTTTTGTTAGGTATAAAGGAATAGAGAGTGGGGGAAAAAAAGAGGCAATTATCACTTGGGGTAAGTGTTTTGCTTTCTGGCCGCCTTTGAAGATCTGGGATGAGAGACCAGAAATCAAGCAGAGTTTGTTAGTTGCTTTATTTTCTCTTACAGATGGAAATATGCTTAAATGAGTTCTTGCTATCTCACATCTAATAAAAGCTCATACTGTATGTTAAAAGAACCAGAAATGGAATATATTATATTCAGTTCATCTGTTCACCTGCCATCTCCAATTTGGAGATTAGGTGATTTTTTTGGAAGTGATATGACTGAAATACCCTGAGACTGTGAAGGCTGACATTTCTCTTGGGCATTAGGCTCTATGGCCTGCATGCGATCAATAGCTCATCTTGAAGCCACGCTGAATAAAATGAGAAGCTTATGCTTGGCCACCATTTAAGTTCAGTTTCCCTGACATGCTGGATCTGTCCAAATCATGAGGGAGCAGGAAGATCCAGSAGCACTAAGGCACTGATGTAGTAATTCTCCATTTTGTTTCTAGTGGGGAAGAGRGAAATGGTGTTTGTTTCACATGGGTCATTCCTTACCAGATGCTAATGCAATCAGGCTGAACCATAGCAAGAGATGGCCATCTTGTGAGAGTGGGAGCTGGCAGGACTGATTGTGCTGGTAGAACTCAAGGCTGTGCTAGATTAKCCTGAGCACCAAAAGAGTAGTCTGGCTGCCTGAGCTCCCCCAGCTGGGATAGCTCTGAAAATGCTGTGCCTCTGTGCCTCTGACTGCTAAAGAAAAGGAGTGGTATCCCTTCTGCTATAAATGCAAATTTTATACTTATGTGGTTAGAGAAAGGAAAGGAAGCAGAGAGTGAGATTGAAAACTGAGGCAGGAAATACTGCATGGTAGGGAAATAAAGTGGAGAATTGCTTGCTGTTCTACATCTCTCTCCACTCCTTTAGGACTTCTCCTGACATGGCAGGTTTATTGAAAAGTGACTTTAATCCATGTTACATAGCATTGAAAAGCTCCCTTCCTTGTGCTTTTATTTTGTAATTCCCAGTGGCAGAGGGAATAAGAGATTGTCAGTGGCATGGTGCATTTCTCCACATGGAAGGAGAAACACTTCCTTTAATTTATAGTAGCATATATCAAAGAAATTGGGGCTCTGCCTCTTCATTAGATATTAGATCCAGAGCAGCCTTGCTGCCCAGACAGCAACACCAGTTTTGATTTTGATATCATATAAGTGTAGCAGCACAGGGATAGAAAGGTGGATTACCTCCAGATATACAATGAGTAGTGTATACCCTGGGAAGAGGAGGGTGCTGGTGGTAGAATCAAAAACAGCAGAATATTATGATATTTAGATCATGTCCAATACTTATATTTGCTCCTAGATTGTACTGCAGGTGTGCTACAGTGAACACTGGCTTGAGGCTTGGCTTAAATTCATATTCAAATATATTTCATCTGAACACTATTTCTTCCTATAGATCTTCATTTCTAGGTTGAAATGCTAATTTTTAATTTATTCCAAATAAAAGAACATTCTTATTGCTTAAAGTGTTAATCTATTGAATAAACTTGTAAATGCCTTAGCCAGGTTTGACAAAAAAAGGCAGAAGTTGCACAAGGACATCAAATTTAAGGTCAGACAGAAATAGTAAAAATCACTGTGAGGAGAGAGAAAGAGGAGATTTTACTAATATTCTTTTGGAGGGAAGGGTAGAAAACATGCACAAAAATAACTACCGTGTAGGACCAGTTCATTTTGCCCTATATCCTGTCTTTAGCTATGTCATAAACACATGTTTGGGGAAAAAAAAAAAAAAAAATTGGCAAGTACAATTTCCCCCAATACACTTCCAATTTTATGAACCCTTTGAGCTTGAGATGTCTCTGTTTCTCTTCCCTGAATTTGGCCAATGCCTCGTTGAAGCCATTACATCAATATCCTGCTCTTGACAGCTAAATATCAGCTCTCATGTAATGATTTATTAATATTAGTTAATAATTAATAAATAAAAGCAGTTTGGGATAGGATCTGTGTTTTCTCCTGTGATTTGGGCATCACTGAAGTTGCCTGCATGAAGTCTCCAGTGTTATAGTATAAGTGATGTATCACTTATACTGTAATGTCTTTCCATAGCTCTTTGCAATATGTGTCTGGTTATCCTTCATTACCGTGTATTACCGTTACTTTCATTACTTCTGTGGTTTTGGCATARCTAATATATGTGTTGAGCCATTCAGGTTCCTTATGGAATTCTGCTGCTAATGTCAGTTCTTGCAGTGAATGGAGATTTCACTCCTGCTTTTGTCTTTGGGCCACCTGCTCATTATGCATTGAAGAAATGTCCTTCTGACTGCTTAACTTCCTTCAAAGCTTTAGGTGAAGGATTGTTTCAAATTCTTTTTAAATCTGTGTGTATCTGGCAGGTTATCCTTGTTGACATGTTTGTGAATAAGAACTGCAATATTCTTAGAAGGATTTGCCTTTTAAAAAGTCCTATTGACTTTTTCCCAAACATCCTGTATTTATGCAGGTGCCTGCTAGTTCTGTTCTTTGTTATAACTTCTATTAATTTATCAGTTGACGTCAGTTTTACRCTCTGTGAATGTACAGTTCCATGGGTTCTCCTGGGATCATTTTGTAAACTGGTGTCAGATTTTCCACTTTCCAATAATCAGATGTTGTAGTGGATTTAGCTGAGAGGGTTGTCTGCTAGTATGTAACAGTTTATCCATTTCAACCTTGAGTTCCTGTTAGGCCCCTTGGATAAACAACTTCTGGTGATTTCATACTGTGTGTTTTGTCCACTTTTCCAAATAAGTTTGGGGTCATAAAGTTTACTCACAATCATCCTCTTTGTAGTGTTTTCTGAATGTCCTCAGTTTCTTCCACAACGATTCCAAGAATTAATTTGACTTCTCTGCAATGACTGTATCTTTTTCAGAGAGTTCTTTAAGTTCCCTCATCATCTCCAGGCCACCCAGAGTTTCTGGAAGTCTTTCCATTTCTRAAAAGTAACTGGTACCTGCTCTGCCCACTGCCCAGCAAGCTGGCACGGTCCCGTGGGGCAGCACGTCCCTGGCTGTGCAGTGGATCAGGCACGCACCATATCCTGCCCAGCTGACGGGAAATCAGCGGGTGTGGAAGGAGCCAGCTGTGTATGCTGGGACAGCCTGGAGAGAGAGAGAGAGAGTACAGTGAGGAGTGCTGAAGAGTGCAACAGGGAACATGGAAAAGAGCTGGGAACCATGAAGGAGTGGGTTCAATAATGGAATCTGAAGTATTTTGAGAAAATTAAGGTGTTGGGAAACTGCTGGATTTTACTGGATTTGTTGGAGGGGATATGCTAACAAGCCATGGCTAGGGTGAGAGGGGATGAAAGGAGATGTACGCAGGGAGTGTAAACCACAAGCCATTAAAGCTAACAAAGCCTGGATTCTTTTCCTCATATTTGTAAAGCAGCTTGTCTTAATAAGATACTCACTTTTTCTGTACCACTTTGTATTTCGCTTCCTGCTGTCACCATCTTTTCACTTTCATTCTTGTTTTTTCTAGTTTTACTCAAATACAATTCTTTGATTGCTTATTCATTATTCATAAAAATKGGACTTGGCATTATTCACCTTCAAAGCTCTTTGCAAGCCTGCTGTGTCTGAGCCAAGATCAATGGTTAAGACAGAATTATTAAAAAATGGTTTTATGATGTGGTTTGGATTAATTAGCTTGCTTTTGGTCACATTTTTGGCTAATATCCTAGCAGGTTGCAGATGGAGTCATCTTGAAAATGTATAAAGCATATAGTAGRTGTCTAAGTTATAAACATGTAAGTTATACTGAATGTTTTTAGGTCCCTTTCAATTAAGTTTGAGGGTTGGATACCACAAGTCATGCAGAGCTTAGCTATATGAAAATACATTATCAGTGGTCATCACTGTAGACTGGATAGTTCTTCTGGGTGTAGAAAGGAGAAGGAAATGGTTCACATCCCAAAGAGCACATGGTCTATGGATACACGGTCTATGGATACACTCCATGTGGGTTGTTTTTGCTAGGGCCTTGAGGTCACTGCTAGACTTTACTGGCCCTGACTGGACTCTCCACACCCAGCCCACTGTCCAGCATCCCTTTGTAGCCAGCTGGGGCTGCTGGCTCCTGCCCCAGTGATGCTGCAGTGAGGATCTGCACAAATCTGCCGGCTAGCYACAGACCTTGATGAGCCAAGCCCACATGCAGTCCCATCTCCCAGGCTGGTTTCAGGTGGAGGTGCCCAGTTCCCAGGCTGGGGCTGTGCCCTGGCATGTGCTGCTCCCTGGCTCGCTGTAGTGTTCTGAGAGAGCCTCCTGCTACTGACTCTCAGCCCACAGGGAGCAGCCAGCCTTTGGGGTACCTTGACTCTTTCCTTTCTTTTTCCCTTTCCATTATTAACTTTCCTCTCAGCAATTAACTTTTCCCTAAGCAATTATTATTCAAAGTTAACAAAGCTGCATTTTTTCACTGGAGACTTCTTACTTGCCAAGACTTTGGCAATGAAACCATTATAGAAGTGATTATGGTAGTCATTTTCTTTTGTAAACTGTTTGGTTTTCATCCTTCTTTCCTACATGTTTCCTAAATGAGGCTACAGTTCAGTGTCAAAATAAGCATTAAGCTTATTTCAGAAACTACCAACCCCAGAAAGTAGATATTGATCAAATAAAATGATGCAATGTTATTTAAAAAATACTAAGAAAGGTTAAAGAGAGAGAGTCTCGTTTTGACTGTAGTTTTAACGTGTGGAAACACTACATAACATAACCCCAACACCACATTACTTATTTTATCATTGTTAAGCAGTTACTGCTTTCAGAGGGTAACAGTTGYACAGGGCCTTGTCATCAGCCTGTTTCCCGCCAGGTTCTCCCTGTTGACACTGACGTTTGTATCTGATCCCAGTGGAACCTAGTAASCCTGTGATGCAGCCCCAGAAGTGAGAGTAACAACGTTTCAGTGTCCAAAATGGTGCATCAGTTGCATCTCAATGGGCCAAAGCTATGCAACCTGCTGGGCTAAAAGCAAGCAGTGTCCTTGTCCGAAACTTCTCGAGCATAGCATGGTTACCAGTAACCAAGTGCTTTGAGCAGTGACTGTTGGAGGATGTTTTGTTGTTGCTCATCAGTTTGGAAAACCAACACAAAAAGAAAAAATCATGAAATAATTCAGATTGGCTATCTCTAAATCCTGAAAGGTGCCCAAGGAGCAAGAGAAATTCTAGGGGTAAGAACTTTTCTGGAATGTAGGTTGTTTGTACATGTGACTGCAGAACTTCGCTACTCACTTGGGGACTGTAAATTGATGTTTGCTTTGATAGCTTGCTAGTATTTGAGTGGCAACAAGGCATTAGGAAATTATTCCTACTGAATCACTAGTCCACAGTTGGTGATACGAACTTTGTGGATCCCTGCATGCCTGCAATTCATTTGTCTGGGAAGCACAGTTCTCTCCCCATGCATAGTTTCCTATCCATCTCATCAAACTGGCTGGAAAGTCTTTCAAGGACCCCTGTTAAAATGTTCCCATATAGTGCCAGCATTTTCTGTCTTTCTGCGTCAAGTCCCATTCATAGCTTCTCTTCCAGTGCATGTTTCATACATAAAAATAAACATTACATTGTATATAATAAGCTATCTGGAACACTTTTCCAGAATTCTTTTGTTTGCCTGTGATGCATACTGGATTGTCTGCAGATGAGGTCTGGAGGTCTAGTGACTCAGAAGCATAGCTTTTTCCTAGCTGATGATATCAGATCCCGTTGGCCTGGTAACAGCAAGTGCTGCAACTACATCAGCAGTTCATCTGTCTAGGAACTGATGAAAGCAATGCAGTGTTCATAAAAATGACATCCCTGGCCTTCTAAACTTCTATACCACAGCAGCCTGTATGCAAATGAGCCCTGAGAGCATGCAGTGCTAGGGTCRTGGGCAATATCAATATTCCCAGAAAGGATGCATGTTTGGTGTCTTAACTGGCAATAAAACTAAACAGAGCAGCTGGGAATTAGCTGCASTTTCGGGAGTTTTTGGAAGTCAAGGAAGATGGCTGTATGCATTTTCTCACTTTTCTTGAAATATTAAAGTATATGCTTAATGCAGATAAAGAAACTATCTTTTTGCATTGCATGTTAGGCTGAAGCAAGGGAAGAATGGAACTAAATGAATTTTTAACAGTGGCGAAGATTGTAGATTTTTCATTCTGAGATCCATGAGGGAAGGGAATTTAATTGTCCTGGCTGACATGAGATAAAAGCATTCCAGAGTCTGAAGAGAGCAGAAAAAGGCTTTTGGAAAAGAAACTGGCTGACAGCATCTAAAAATGTCCTGTTGTGAGGTTATGTAATAATATATTTATTATTTATTATAAAGATGCAACTTTATATTTGCCTGTATACACATGTACAATTATTAAAGTAATGAGGACCGTGCAAAGATTTACAAATATGGGTGTTGGGCTCCTGTTAAAATGTTTCTCTGGCACTATACAGCTTTGGGAGGTTTCTTTTGTCTGATGGTCCTTTTGGGGTGTACATAAACRGTGTGATACTGAGAAAAATGATTGTTCCTGCACTCTGTGGATGCATAAGCCTTACAACAAAGAGTCCCTGCAGATTTTGCTCTCTATAGAAGGAATAAATAATGCTAGTTCTGTAGGAGGGATATTGGAATATTTATCAGGGTGGTGTGTGTGTGTCAAGGAAGGGTTTTCTATCCTAATTGCCTTCCAGTAATCTGACTTTCAAATGCTCTTCCTTTGGATTTTTATCTACATGTTTCCTTCTCCCTTATGCTGACTGAAAGGTCCCTTGTTTCCACGGTGAGCTAATACTGCTCCTAAATCAGTCAGTTGATACAGAGGAATAAGACTGCTGAGAAACAGAGTGGTAGCATATTTTATTCTTTTGAGGGTAAGGGAGGAGGGATTACAGGGGGAGGAATTAGGTGTCTGAAAGAAAAACTTGGGAAAATAAGATTGCTGAAAAACCTTGTTGAAAGCTGAAACTCTATTGTTGGGATTACGCCCAGAAAGGCAAATGAGAATGCAGAAGACAAGCAGTGAGTTCAATATCTGGAATGAAAGAATGGGAGAAGGGTTTGGCACAGSGTCAGGGAGCTGTTGACTTGGCCAAGAGGAGGTCTGTGGAAGTAAGTGGCTGTAACCTGGGTAGTGCCACTGAATGAACAGGGTGAGGGTAAAGAGAGTTAGTCTGACCCAGAGGTATTAGAAAAAATCGCACAGAAATTGTGTAAAGAAAAGTAAGTAGCATGGACTAGGAAGAAAGTGTTTCACATTAGAATAATACAGGTAATAATTTGGGGTGACTCTGCACCTAGATAGTTGTGGGTAATTTGAYAGTAAATGCATAGATATAGTGGGCTTAATATTTCTGACTGTTGCTCTGCCAGCAGCAGGCAATTATTCCTTAAAAGAGGGTGAAGTAAAGAAACAASACTGTGACTTGGACATACAGTAAGGCAGGGAGTGTGTGTGGAGAACTATAAAACTTGTCTAAATKACAAGGGAGAATTAACCCATGCATCTTGCCCGAGTTTGACTCACTGGATGATTWATTAGACTAGCTCCTATTTCTAGTAGAGGCTTGGATGTTTTTGTGTGGAGGCAAACTAGATCACATCACAATAATTTTTTACTTTTTTTTTTTCTCTGCCTGCCCACTCTTCATTACTGCAAATGTCTGCAAGCCCAAATGGCATGCACTACCTTCTCAGCYGTGTAATTGTATACATAAACTGCCCTATAGGTGCAGCTGCACAGCAAACCCTATTTTTACAGTGTCAGTCACCATGTAACCCTGCGTGTACCTTCTTTTTTCAAGCAGAATTAATCCTGCTGCATCTTGCAAATATTAATTTCTTTCCTCGGGATATTGCCATTCTTCCCTCTAACCACCCATCTCCTACTGTATGTGGATCCCATCAGCTGCAGTAGGCCTTTTTTTCCTGAAAATAGGGGATTTCATATATTTCCAAGACACGATATTTTGGTTGGTTCCATGTAAATTTTTGTCTATGTTATCATGGTTATTTCTCTTACCATCAGTATCCATTCAGACTTTCTAAATACAAAATTAATTAAGGCTGTAGATAATGATGGCCCAGACCTTGACATCATCACTGGACACAGTTGGGTAAGGGGAAAAAAGGTCCATATGTGGAATTCCGTTGCAGTAAAAAGTRTGTTCTGGGGCTTTTCTTCCTGCTTCCTTTACTTCTCCTAAGTGCTGGACTTAGAGCCAAGGATTTGGGTTTAAGTGACTCTGTTGATCTGGTGTGGAGTGACAGTGCTTATAGTCCCTGAAATAATGATTTGCCTTTGCTGCCTTGCTGAGAGGAAGATGTTATCCTCTTCTGGATCATTATTCAAAAGTGCTGAGATTCTATGAATAGACAAGCAGTAACAGTTAAGGGAGATTATGATGCTGGATATGCTATATGGCTTCAGGAGGCTAATACTCCTAGATATCAGAGGTCTGTTCTTTCTGATGTATTACTCTGTGCCACTTTTTATGTTAGGAATACAGCACAGCAAGACAGCCTTTTTTGCAAGAGAACACATAGGATCTCTGCTTCATTTTCTTTTTTTCCTTCTGTCTTGCCATGTCTTTTTGTTATGTCTGTGGGTTTTTTATTTACAGGGCCACCGGTTGAAAAGGCAGGTTGATGTCTGGGGGAGCTGGGGTGAATGGGGCAGGTGCAGTCGGAGCTGTGGTGGTGGAGTCAGCTTTCGGCAACGGCGCTGCTATTCCCAAAGGTGAGGGATAACTTCCTTTTTTTTTTTCCTTTTCTTTAAATGTGTTGTACTGTTACTGAGCTCCTGCAGTTATGTTCCAATATACATCCAGAAAAAGAAATGACTTTGTGTTTGATCCCAGGAGAATGAGTCCACTTTGAGATGAACCTCAGTTTCAGTCTTGTCACTGCTGTTTTGAGTAGTGCCCTCTTCAACACATGCTTGCTTTGGCTCCTTTGAAAGAGCACAGCAGTTTCTCTGTGAGATCTGAGGCTGTGCAATCAGGGGGTTGGCATGGTAGCAGCTGTTTAATCAGGTCTAGTGTGGCAAGCCCTGGGGGAGATGGAGAACAGGCCAGAGCAGTTGGTTTCTCCCCCAAGAGCTGGTGACAGTGCTGAGGTTGTCTTAGATTTATGATTCCCAGGAAGGTAAATTGCCCCAGAAGAAATGGAAGAGTAAATTTGGCTCAAGCARTGTTAGCACTGTGCCACCTCATTTGCAGCTGGGTTAGCTGCATCCTAAAGAGGATGATGACTGGTACTGCACCTGTTGGGAATGATGGACCTTAGAGATCCTGTTGTGGATGAAAACAAAGAGGGGGNGGGGGAGTGCAGAGAAGCCAGACTCTCAATGATATCCTGAAAAAAAACAGCCTCTCTCTGTTTTGAGAAATGAGAKGAGGTTTTGTAATAGAAGAATCCAGAGGTATGAAGCTTCCCACACAGCATAAAGAAAARTCTCTTTTGAAGGCTGCCCATTACAGTTTATACCTGCCAGAGTCCCTGAAGGCCTGCTTCTCCATTTTAGAAACACTGAGGTATTAGGCATTGACTGGCTTTTTAGATCAATTTCCTCCATAATTGTTACTCTCCATAATTCTCAGCTGCAGTCATTTGACTGGAATAAGGGTGTTGCATACTTTCCATTTTTAGCATTTCCTAGTAAGGGGCATATTGTGCACAAAAAAATCAAGATAGAAAGATATTCTGAATTGGCCACTATCCTCTTGCTGTTCATAACATGGTTTTCTTTCTGGTATGGACATATCGACTCCTTGCTGGTGGATAGCGGACTGAAATCTCTGTTTCCATTATTTAGTTGAAACACGACCCCAAAGAGCTGTGCTGCAGTTGTTCATGGTGTGTGTCTCATTCATGCCAGAACACAAACCATAGCATAAAATACCACTAGAAAATGCCAGCTTGCTTTAATGGTGAAGAAGTGCATTTTAGTTATTTTGCTGCTTCAGGGAACTCTGTGAGGGTGATTTGCTTGGTGTGAAGGTGATTTGTAACATCTGCCATGAGACGACTTTTTGCATGTGTATTCTTCAGAAAGCTTCATTTAGGTTTTCTGTCTTTCAGGACAGAAGGTCCTTCCAGTTGTGTTGGACCAACACGAAGCTATCGGTCCTGTAATGTTCAGGTATAATGCTCTAGTTGTGATTTTTCTTGCCTGTAGCTCCTTTCCTCCAGACAAACATCTTTTTTATTCAATAATGAGTTGTGATTATGAATTTCTGTTTCTGTGGTGTCGCTGGTGGATGCAGTTCATTAACAGTACCTTTTAAAAAATTTGAAATTATTTGAGGTATTGAAATGATAYCCCAATTTAAATGAGAGGAGTAAGAATAATAATAAGTAAGAATAAACCCCTAATTTTTACTGCGCACTTTATTTTCCTCCTTTTTCCTATRAGTCCAATACAAACATTTTCTCTTCCAAACAGAACTGCCCGGAAGGATCCCGGGATTTCCGGGCAGAGCAGTGTGCAGAGTTTGATGGGACAGAATTCCAAGGAAAGAAGTACAAGTGGCTTCCATATTATGGAGGTAATGATAAATGTGCTACCTATTAGCAATAAGCTTTGAAGTAACTGTAATRTTTCCTGCTGTAGTGTACTTGCAGGAGACTTCCTTAATTGGAGTGGGGGGCAGGAGTTGGCATGGAAATAAATCACTTTGCAGCATCAAAGCCTTGCTGTCCTGAAGACACTGGATGCATGGGCCAAGAGACAGCATTGCAGCAATACATACTTGTCTGTTTTAAGAGACATTCCTCCAGAAACATTGCTCAAGGAAATCTGGAACAGGTTGCAGCTAGGTGGTGAAGTATTAGAGGAACAGAAATTCTGYTGTATTTTCCAATATAGGCACATGAATGTTAGTAGGGCACAAGAGAAGCAAATGCATATGATTAATGAGTGCTTCAGAAAATATGACATCCCTTCAATTGACCTACGCTTTCTTAAGGAACCAGCTCAGAAGGCAGGTGTGGGAAGCACTGATCCTTGCTCTGGGCTTTGATGTGATATCTTTCACAGCTGGCTAACAAATTATGAGGGATTTTTAAGATGGATTTAAAGGGTATTTCTGTTAATTGCTAAAATAACAGTTCTGTGCCAGCACTTGTTCTCATTCTAGAAAGAATACTCCAAGGGAGTTTAAGAGCAATTCTACCAAGGAATAACCAAATATCTACCTAGACCAATGTCRCCCAAGGAAACACTTGCATACAGTGAGACTTTACCAGGGTATTTTTCCAGCCTCCAGCAGTTTGTGACCCAGGAATTTGTTTAATATCTGCCACTTAATATCAGCCCACTCTTTTACTGCTCCTGTGATCTAAAACTAGGCTCCTAATGCRGTATCACGCTATTATATAATGTTTCTTTTTTCTCTCCTGCCAGCACCTAATAAGTGTGAGTTAAACTGCATTCCTAAGAGAGAAAACTTCTACTACAGGCACAAGGAAGCAGTGGTAGATGGGACTACCTGTGAACCTGGCAAGMGGGATATCTGTGTAGAGGGAGTTTGCCAGGTTTGTAAATTCTTTCATTCATCGTTGGGTCCRTCAGTGTTTCTGGTGTCTCCTTTTCTTCTGCTTGACCTTTCATAATAGCAGCAGAAAAGGTGACTTGTTCAGTTTCAAGGTGCTGAGTAGAATGTGGACAGCATTTATCTGGCTCTGGATGTGCAATAGTAGGTATCAGCTTTGTCCTTTCTCTGTCAACTCCTCTGCACTATCCTGACTTTCCAGGTTTCCTAGATTCAGGCTTTCTCATTAGATCTGTCCAGTATTCGGCCTTTTTTTTTTCCCCTCTGTCATTACAGTTTATTCCTATTAATGCTCCTGTGCTCTGACAGGCTGTTGGCTGTGATAATATGCTGGAATCTGCCAAGAARGAGGACAAGTGCCTACAGTGTGGAGGAGATGGCAGCACCTGCTATGGTGTGAAGGGCACTTTTGATGTGGCCAGCCTCCCCAAAGGTACAGATGATCCTAGGTAGTTTGGGCAGGTGAGAAGGRGAGAATTAAATCAAGAATCAACTGCCACAAGGGCTGGTGGGGACACCTACTCACATGATTGTTATAGGTGTGYTTGGATGTTTACTTGAAATATCTACGGTGTGTGGCCTTAGCATCAGAAAATATCTATGGTGTGTTGGCCTTATCCTGGAAATCACTTCCTTAATCTGTGTCCACACTGAAGTASTTGCCATGATGCTGATGTCTTCCCTGCTCTCTCTCCAGCAGGTGCTATAAATAAACCATAATAAAGTAATCATGCACTGCCTCTGTGAGGCTGTCCAGTGCCTTGATTGTCCCATCAGGACTCCTGCAGGGCTAGAAATGGGACTGCATCTTCTGCATTTGGCCAATTTTGAAAAATGTCAAGATGACATTTTGTAGTTGTGACCCCAACTACACTTGGGGTCACATCTCTCTRTGTTGAACTCCAATATGATTCTTGCTGAAATTCCAAAGATTTCAAAATGTAGAAARTGGCCTTCTCTAGGTGTAGTTGGAATTTTTTACACACAGATGGATAATGTAGGGTGAGAATTTTCATCATGCAGACAATGGAAATTATTTATGTCACCATCAGAAAGCTCATCTAGTTGTTCAGACACCAATGAAACCATGAGCATCATTCCACAGAAGAGTGGCTGTGTGGCATCCACAATCGGATATTGAACAATCCCCTTTTATTTCAGGTTACAATCAAATCTTTATTATCCCTGTGGGAGCCACAAGCATTCAAATTAAGGAGGTTAAGCCCAGCAGGAACTTCCTAGGTAAGACAATAACAGAATCTGTGTGTCAGTCACTTGGATTTTAGTCATTATGCTAAAATCTAGTTTTCAGGTATGGGTTTTGGAACGTTTACCTTTAGGKCTTGATATGGCAGAGTGAAAAACTGAATCAGGATCTGACTGAGTATCCTTGAATTGTGAGTGAGGCACAACTCTGGGCTTCACATTTACCTCATTTTCTCTCCTGTGGAGATCATGCTGCTGGAGGAGGGGGGTGGAATAAAAATACCCAAACCACATTGAGACTTTCTGCTTTTGACTTATGAGGAGTCTCGTTGATGTACTAAAATTTGTCTATGAGTTCTTTTGGTTTGRTGAATGCAAACCCTACCTACTTCTGCCATCCAGAAGTTTGGGGGTGGGCTTCTTTTCCCCATAGATTTGTTTTGGATATTTGTATAGCCTCCACCTCTGGTCATTCTTCAGAGGTGAAAAGGAGGGAGAAAAGTCCTCACTTAGCTTTCTGGGCAGGGCTGAGGAAATTCCAGCAGCGAAAGCAAATAMTCTCTGCTTTCTGAATCTTCCATCACTCAGTGCTTTGGACAAATCAATCTTGTRTTGTTGTCCTGTGTAGAAAACTGGATGTACCACCTTTCCAAATAGAGTATCTGATGCACCAGATAGTGGTGTAAAGGTAGTGGAGTGTGAATCCCACATCTTAATGGCAAGYAAGACAAAGGCTGACATCAGCTGTGCCCCAGCAACTAACAGTGAGGAATGCAGAGGCAGGGCAGGAATATGCTGGAGGCATTTGACTATGCAGCAAAAAAGTGCTTCATCTGCAGCAAAGCTGGCAAGAACCACTGTCTGAAYATGGAATGCTAAAAAAGCACTGTGGAATGCTAAAAAACCATRCAGGAAGGGCAATATTGTTGGAAAGATGATGGTCACCCTCATTTTCTTGTGACACAATATTGAATGGAAACAGGAGCAATCCTGTGGAGTTCTTCTGATCCTTTCTGTCTGGCATGTGTGTTTGTCCAGCTGTCAAGAATGTGCAAGGGGAGTATTATCTGAATGGGCATTGGACGATCGACTTCAGCCGGGCRCTGCAGGTGGCCAGCACAGTGCTGCACTATGACCGTGGCTCGGAGGGTGATGTGGCCCCAGAGCTCCTCCATGCTCGGGGTCCCACCACAGAACCCCTCATCATCGAGGTGAGCGGCTGTGCCTGCCCCTGCTGATATTTGACCTTTGCTTTGCGTGGTGGAAGTGTGTGGTTAATACCACATGGGGAAAACTGGAGACATGATGAGGCCCCCAGGAATCTTACAAGGCTGTGGGCCTGCAAGCTAGACCAAGGCAGTCTTCTTGCAGAAGTAGCACTTGTTGCTGGTCTAGTTCTGTTGCCCAGAAACGAGCAGTGCAAGGCTCAGTGTTGATTTCCTGSTTATTCCTTTGGGCTCTGACTTTGAGGGAGGCAAGAGTCAGCACCAAATGGGGCAGGGACAGGCTCCAGGACACTGTTTGTTGTACTGTGCTGTAGGGCAGGAAAGGTTCTTGCTGTTACAGGAGCAGCTGGATCTTCTAAAGCCGAGARGGATGAATGTACCCTTCTCTGAAAAGTAATGCTCTCCAGAATTTGTTTGAAGGGAAGGAGAAAATACAGTGCAGGGAATTAGTGCTTCTTCAATGGCAGAGGGTGCAAGTCAGCTCAAACCCTCAGACATGGTGGGRAAATGCTGTGAAGATGAAAACTGTAATWTTCCTGAYATCCACCCATGCTTTCACAGCTTATCAGCCAGGAGCTAAACAYGGGCATACAGTATGAGTATTACCTGCCCCTGCAAGGACAGGCCTCGGGTTACAGCTGGAGCTACAGTTCGTGGAGTGAGTGCAGCTCCGAATGTGGAGGAGGTAAGAGGAGAGGACCTGATCTATGGTGGCTGGTGTGGGGTTTATATCCACACCCTGCAGGCAGTGTGACAGCTCCAGCGTCACACAGTGCTGCCCTCTGCAGCTGCTTCCCAGCAGTCTCCTGCTGGAAGGCAGCACAGGTACCTGCAGGGTGCTGCTAAGGTTTTGTCAAGGGTGAGTCATGCATGGAATCRCAACAGGATTGTGCCCCATACCTTGTTCTTCTTTTCCATTCCCTAGTCCTCAGACCTACTACTAGGACCTTTTAAGAAACTTCATAGATAGCCTTTGTTATGTTTCGCTTCAGGTTTTCATAGTCTTTWCAACCATTTGAGAGGTCCTCTCCAAAGAGACCTGGTCTACATTAGTGAATCGCGTAATTCTCCTTTGCCAGAGCCTGGAATTTTTCCTCTCTCCGAGGGGACTGTCAGGTCTTCTGGGGTATCCCACCATGTTCGGTTTACAGATCCCTTCATGAGCAACATTATGGATTTTAAGCTTGAAAGCCCAGCCTCTTCTGGGCTTCTGTGCTTATGGCCATTTTGGTAGCTTTTGCCATATTATAGGTTTGGCTGGGCACTCATACCCTGTAGGAAGCATGAAGAGTTGCAAGTTTTACTCCCAAATCCAGTCTTCACAAGACTGACCTTTGAAGTTTAACAGGAGACCGTCCCTGTTCTGCCATACACTGCACACATCTTGCAGGGCTCCTTCATGAGCAACTCACAGGTATGGAACTTCCCTTGTGAGTCTCAATCCATAATATAACAGGAATATTTCCTTCAGCTACACAGAACAATACTGTCTCCCTTGCACTTCGGTAGACTTATACTGTGGGAAGACATAATTTGTCCACATAGTGAGAGACAGAGAACTGCAACTGTCTTTTTTCCAGAATGGCTTGGACAGGTGTGGATTCTGTGCGACTTTAGAAACTTGTCTTGCCAACCCCAGTGCATTGCAGACCTAGTCCTGGGTAGCATGTGTTGATCAGATATTCTCTTRCTTGTCCTCCAGGTTTCCAATCCCGCTTGGTGTTTTGTACTATAGACAATGAAATTTATCCAGACTATATGTGCAGGAATAAACCACAACCAGACAATAACCGGACGTGTGGCCATCAGCCTTGTCCCCAGACAAAACGGTATGATTTCTGTCCTTCTTCTGGACTCTGATTTCTTCCTTTGGGGCTTTTGGAGCYGTGAAAAAGAGTGGCCCTCTCACTTCTGCCCTCCAGCATGGTTCTCTTCGAGGAAGTGTTTCACTTCTTAGAGAAAGAGGAAGACAAAAGATGGGGATGATAAGACAGTGATGAGCATTTCCGTGTGCACAAGGAAAGGGCTTAATACATCCTCTGTTCATTTTATACATCAATTAAATTTGCCTTCCAAAATAGGATTGTGGAAGACAGTCATCTACCCCATGTAGGAGATATGAAACAGATTCTCTGGTTTTTCTTCTCTTGAGCTGGACCCTACAAAGACAGAGTAGGTGGTCTGAGCTGGTGTGATTTTATGTAATTTCTGCATTCCCAGTGTTCTGTCTCATGGATGAATCCTGGAGTCTCTTCCTTCTCCAGCATTTTCAAAGCTCTTCACCCAGCCATTTCCACCTTGTCCCTTACAGTTGGCTTTGCATGGCTCTTAATGGGCATCCAGAGCTGTAACATGAGCCTGAGCTGTGTATSAGTAGAGGCCTCTGAGAGTGCTGGTGTGCGTGAGAGGGCAATCTGGGAGTATGTCTGAACACAAGTTAGCTGGTAGCTATTTGTTTTAAGTTCTTTAAAACCTTTCTTCTGTATATAAAGGACTTCTTACATCTACCTGCCACAAGCCTGGAGTCACAGTGGTGCACGGAGCTCTCAGATGAAGAGGTAACAARGAGAAGGAAGTTACAGAAAACACTGGAAGGCAGCTGCTCTCTTGTGCTCTGCACCTAGTTGACCACTGAAGTCTGTGGGACCTTTCCTCTTTGGCACTGGTGGTAGCAGTGGGTGTTGCTTTGCTTTTGATTCTTGCCAGAGAAAATTACGGTGGAGGGTGCTGGCTGGCAGCTTTGCTTAGGTGGCTGCATGTGCCTCTGGTAACTCAGTTCTTAAAGGACTGAAAAAGGGACAATTTCTTCATAGCTTCTGGCTGCTTATTCTTGTTTTTTCTCTGGAATCAGAGTAAAGAAGTTCTGAAAGATTTTTGTAAAATATAAATTTACGTTTCAAGATAAAGAGCATAAGTGAAATGAGAGCATGATCAATTGGGCAGTTGTAACACTGGCCAGCATGCCACAGCCAAAGCCTTAGTGTTTCTTAAAAGCTCCTTCTTTGGCATGGGCCCTATAGCAGRCAGAAAAGAGCCTGTAAGGTGTGATGAGTACAAGGATGTGACAGATACAATAATGTACACTGAGGTATGAGAAGTTAAAAGCATCAAAAGCAAAACAGTTGTCCCCCAGCAAGCTKCTAATAACTTAGGACTTGCAATTTTTGCCCTCTGATGAGGGTCCCAGCCTTATGGTTGACCTTATTTTACAAAGGAAATGAAACAAGTGTCAGAGAGGTCGTGACTCGTAATGGAAGGAAGCTGTAGGTTATCCCATCTGGTTGATTCAGCCTTTYCAAGACTGTACATTTGCTTTTTAGGAGGCAGAATACAGTGGTTTGGGAGAGTTATTCCCATTGGAGCTTTTGAAAATACTTGATCAGTTAATTTGTTATAAGCCCTGCAAGCGCACCATTGTAAATGGCTTCTGCTGTATGTATTTGTTCCCTTTCCAAAGGAAACATTTTGTAGGGAAGGCCATTTACTTTGGGGCTGATATTTGCATCTTTAGCAATAAAGAAGGGTGTGTTTAGGGGCTGACCTTGGCAGAGTTTACCATGGAATTCCTGTTAGGATGTGAATGTGCATTGGCTGGCTGAAACTTGGTTTAGGGATGGCAAGGGCCAGACTAGGGAAGCAGCTGGAATGCTTGGGGGAGAAAGATGAACTGCTTTCACTCCCTGGCTGGGCCTTACCTGGCTGCAAGGGGACACAGCAACTGGCAAGCAGAGCACCATGATGGCTCCCCCTCCACAACCAGTGCCTTTTGGCTGCACAGCACACTGGAGTTGGGGATGAAACATTATATTGTCCCTGAAGCCAGGGTATGCAAGCTGTGCTTCCAGCTACCTGGCTAGCTCTGAGAAGCTGGAGTGGCCATGAGGAGAGATTTTAGCATCCAAACAGATTGTTTTGTGGGCATTCCTTGTGTTAGCAAGGGTCTATCATTTCTGCAGCAGCTTCAGCAACCAAATAGAGGACAAAATCTGTTTACATTTTTGTGGGCTTTTTGTATGTGTGCTGTGATTAGAGAGTTTGACTGATGGGAGGAATAAACCAGCTTTCTACTGTCTGACAGTGAAAAGTTAAGCMCTTCTGAGAGTGTCTGGCATGGTTTGCAGGCAGAGTGAGGACTTGGCTTTGTTTTACTGTTTCTGATAATGTCTGGAGTATAATGTGTGGGTTAGGCTGTTGTGGTAGCTTTTCTTTTAGCTGATCTGGATTRTTTTCTTTGTTTTTTTCCTTTCTTTTTCTTTGATATTCTATTCTAGGCATGACATTTTTGCAGACATCAGGAGACCAAAAGCCATGGAGAGAGATCTTTCCCCTCTGRGAAAGCTCTGCATTTCCAGAGAAACAAGTGTTTTGCAGCTGGAGATATATCTCTGGAGTGGGACTCATGCACTGCATTGCCAATTAAAGCTGGGTGCACTTGGTCAAATGGGAACTCAACTCTGATTCTATTCTGCAAAGGGACGTCCTCCCTGTTTGATTTCTACAGGCATGTGGCACTGACTCCTCTGTGCCTCCAGGCGGTTTGGTAGGCTTACTTTTTTTTTTTTTTGCTTGATTCTGTGACCTGCAGGTGGAAAACAGGAGAGTGGGGGTCCTGCTCAGCTACCTGTGGCGGGGGCACCCAGACGCGCTCCGTGTACTGCGTGGCGTTTGACGGCCAGAGCTCGCAGGGGGTGGTGGATGACGCTGAATGCATGGTCTTCGCCCAGCAGCCACGCCGCAGCCAGCCCTGCAATGTCAGGCAATGTGCCACCTGGAGCACAGGGCCCTGGTCCGAGGTCAGTGCCCCTGAGCAGGTAACAGYCTCTTGGCGCCCACAGGATGAGGATCTGCCAAAGCTCGGGGATAAAGAGCCAGGCTCCTTTTCTGAGACTACAAAAAGCATGAGTCCCTGGATAGGTGGTGTGCAGAGGTGTAGAACTTTTCCCTGTAGCCTTCCAATGTCCTCCTATGAGCACATCCCTGTTCCTCAAAACTGTGCATGTCTCTGCACCTCTGCTCTTCTCGTTGCATGTCCCACCTTTCTCTGCTCTRTTAATCTATTCCCCACTGCTGTGTTTTTATTAGACACCCCACAGCTGGCACTGGCTTGGTTTCTGAGCTGGGCCTGGTGAAGGTGGAGGAGGGTGGGCAGGGGAGCTGCTGTCCATCAACTGAGGATGTACAGTAACACACTCTGTGAAACAGGAGCTCATGGTTTCTGCCTGTGCTGGTTATTTCCATGCATTTTGCTGCCTTGGCATCACCAGCCCAGGTCAGCAGTACCATCATCACAACAGCAAGATACTCTCAAAACACTGGTGACCTGTTTACTGTGTGTCTGCACAAGGCTTCTCCAAACACAGCTACATGGTGCATTTTTGATGATTGTGTGCATTTTTATCTGCAGGAGTGAAAACAGCTCTGTGTGTGCTGGGTGCATCCACATCTTTAGAAGGCATCTTACATTCCAAGGACTTAGAAAGTAAAGGAAATGTCTGCTCAGTCCCTAAAGCACAAGTGAATTTTCTTCTTGTAGAAGTACATGCATGCTCGCAAGASTTGACTTACAATCTTGTGGTTGTGCTTAGACACTGAGTTATGCAACAGCACAAAATGTAACATTGAGGCATGATAACCTAGACTGCAAAGTCCTTCCATTACCCCCTTTCCCTCCACCTTGTGAGATGCAAGGTGTGACTTCAGGGTTGTGGACTAGGAGTGCTGTTTGGGGAAGGCACCAGGGGTCATGTTCTTACAAAGTGATTCCTGAGTGATTCATTCTGGAAGCAAGCATGTTTCATGTACTCTCAGATTTAAAAGGTTACTCTGGTAAGTGAATGGCTGAAACTGAGCTGGGAAGCTCATCTGAAGTAATTCACACTGTTCCCAAGTTAATGCTGTCTGTAAGACACCTTGGTAATTCATGTWGAAGTAGGTTGGATTCCAGGAAACACTGCTGTGAACCTAAGAGGGCGTTGAAAATGTCGCAAACTAGCTACTAGTATAGAAGTTGTCACAGCTCCAGTGTGCACACTGTAAATTAGAGCACAAGGTCTTCAGGCAAAAGACATGAGCAATATAAGAACCTAACCTTTTACCTTCCCTAGAATTCTTTACCTTGTATTAATTTTAATCAGATGGAAACAACATTAATTTCTAGATATTTTCTGCCATTTATTTTTCTCAGTGTATTCTGCAGTGTTGATATTTTTCCAAATTCATCCTCCACATCTCCTTTGGGGAGAGATCAAGAGTAATTATATGACTTGGCCAAAATCATCCCGTGAGCTCCAGATCTCCCAGAACCTATTCCATGCTCCCATGCCTTATTGTCTCCTCTACAGCGCAAACAGCTACTCTTGCTAACTCCCACCCCAGAAAATTATTTTAATGATGGTGGGTTGTTTCAGGCAGCCTCAAAATGGTGCTCTGCTTTAAAGAGAGGGAGCTCAGCCTGGAGCTGCAAGAGGAAACCAGGTGCTTCTTTGTAATTATTGGACCCTTTCTKCAGTGCTCAGCCAGCTGTGGGGAAGGAGTTCAGACCCGGACTGTCACCTGCAGGACGCAGCAGGGCTCTCAGGCTCAGGACTTCGCTTGTCTGATGGAGCCAAAGCCATTGGCCACCCAGCCCTGCCTTAAGGAGAACTGCATCCAGGAAATCAGCTGGCACATTGGAGACTGGGGTCTGGTGAGCAGCACACTGTCATGGCTCGGAAATTACTGATTGTATTGCTGTGCTCCTCACAAACAAGCTTTGATCCGTGCAGTCTGCACATTGGCTGAGGCTGGGAGCAGTACTGTTTCATTACCAGCCCCTTGGCTCACAGTCCTGTTGTAACTGGCACTAGTAATGCTCCAGTTAATCTGATGCCTGCTTTGTATGTAGCTGCTACAAAAAGAAATCCTTCTGAGGGGGGATTATCATTTCAGTGACAGTGGCAAAATGCAGCCAATAAGCTGAAACAATTCACTCTTGCTGCTTATTCCCAGTTCTTTGCTCCATCACTGTGATCAGCAGAAGAGCTCTCTGGCCAAGTATGGCTTAGAGCTCTAGGCTTCAGGACTGGTCATTGCACTTTGTGATATGATTTAAAGTACATTTTTGTACTTGCTCAGATAAACTGTGCTTCAGATGGATTAATCTTGTCTTTGTGACGGAAGCCAGACTGTGTAAAACTGGGAAGAGTGTCAGGGGGTAGAGATACTAGTAGATTCAGTGCATCAGGTGACTTCCAAACACACTTTTTCACTTCTGTGTTAGCCAGACCAGCTTCTTCTGAGCTAAAACATGTTATACATGGCTCTTCGTAAGATGTGGACCAAATTTTAGTTATAGCTAAAGAGATTTAATGTATTAATCTGATSTTTCTCCTGGCTTCCTGATATCGGAAGGGCTCCTGTCTGCCTCCCTGAATTAGAGAGAAATACTCTCCCAATGTTTAGAGAGCTTGCCATGAGCCAGGTGGGTTACACAGATACCTCATGCTACCCCCTCTTCTGAGCCACTGCTCATTGCTCTCTCTTATCCACAGCTTCCAGTGGAGAAAAACTCGAGTTAGCTACTTACAAGAAAGCCACTGGTTTGTTTTCCGGTTGTAAATAGTTGTTCTTGAGTGCAAACTGATYCACTCACAGCTGGTGGATCCCCAGAGAATCGAGGTGTCTTTAGGCCTTCAGGCTGAAATTATTCTATCCAGCTCCATGACATACTGCCGTGCGTAACAGCAGCTCATCTGTATGTTACAGGCTGAGTGTGGCATAGAGCCTAATGCTTACGGGCTGGGTGTAACATTTGATAAAAWGGTTTAAAGTATGGTTTTCTAATTGTTCAGCTGATTCCAGCTGAAATATTGTTTGCTTTGTCTTGGTGGAGGAAGCTAAGCTCAGCCTGCAGCTAATCATGCAGCTGTTCCCCACTTCYGATCTGTGGGGTTTCTACATTCAGCCTCTGCTCCCTGCTCACTGYCTTGTCTCTGTGCCCAAGTGTTCCAAGAGCTGCGATTCAGGCATCCGGACACGCCAGGTCATCTGTGCTGACGGCGACTCCAAATTCTACAGTCCTGAGACATGCAAAGCCATCCAGCCACAGAAACCAGCCACCCTGGGTAGCTGCAACACACAGCCCTGCTACCTGCCACAGCGTGAGTGGTTATTGCTGCACACCCAGGTTTCCCTTGCTTTTGTTTAGGAATAGAAGTTCCCAGCTCTGCACCAGCTTATGTTCTCAGCTTCTTGCCTGCCTGTCTCCATCCTGTGAGTTTGCTGTGGTTATGTGCACAAAGAATTGTCCAAGTCCCAGTACCTGTGCTGTTTGAAATGTGTGCAACAGGCTGGGGAACAACATTGCAGTGATGGAATCATTCTGAATCCAGTGTTCCATGATGGCTCATCCAGTGTGTGCTGCAGATTGATCCCAGGACTCCTAGTCCAGAAGGTGGTAACTTGGGCAGGCTCTGTAGCTAAAAACTGTAGGCAACTCTCATCCCTCTGTGGGCCAGCTATGAAGGAGTCACAGCTCTTCAGAACATTTTGCTTCTTGTCTATGGCTTTTTCACATGAGAGCTGCAATCTGACTTTTTTCTGCCTGCCTGTTGTAGGTCACTTGTCCTGACAATCCAATCRAATCCAGTTGCTGCTCAGCAGTTATTCCACAAGAGGAACATTTTAATCAGCTTTCATCTCCTGCTGACTCTTGGATGTATTTGCAATTATTAGAGCACAGGGTTGGACTAACTGGAGTCATTTTGTGTATGTCTCTCTTTGCAGAGGTCCCCAGTATGCAGGACACTATGGGATACGATGTCACTCGTCAGTCCTCGCTGACACGTTACAACCCTAACAGCCCTGCTCCAGGTTGGGAAGAATTTTATGGATTTAGGGGTTTGATGATGGGGTACTTGGAGTAGAGTGTGAGTAGGGGGAGGGGGATCATCCTTTTCTTAATTTCTCTCTTTTTTTCCCATGGCCTTCTAGAAATTCAAGGAGCCAGGGACAAATGTAGATTCTTTTACACCAGCAGTGAGCAGTATTTGAATCTATCTATGCAGAAAACTCTGTACAGAATATGGATCCCAGCTTCTGTCAGCATGACTTAAGTGCTGACTGGAAGAAATGATGCCCAGAGCAGATCATAGGAAGAGGAAAGGATGATGCGAAGGGACCACAGCAATGTGACAGGTGGTTTCTCATGGGACAGGAGAAAGGGTAGGGAACAAAGTCCTCAGCCAGATCAGGAAGGGTGACCCATAAGACACCCCTAGAGGTGACGCAGAAAAGCCTGCCAGGTAGCCGTGGGCAGGTGAAAGAGAGCAGAGAGGAGGAAAGCTGACCAGATTTTGATGCTCACCTGCATATTTTAAGGAGTTCTCTCCCCAGATTCTGATGATGGAAGGATGTTTCCTGGGAACACCATGACCCATAGTACTTCAGGGAATCACGACATTCCATCCACCAAGGACCATGGCATCAACTTGTTTCCTGTCCGTTGGGAGCCCCAGTCACGCTCCCATCGGCTCAGCTTCTCCCAGGACCCCCTTGCAGGAGAGGGCTCCCAGAACTGCCTTCAGAGCCCACATGGCTGCTGTCCAGATGGGCACACTCCAGCCTCAGGCCCTTTGGGGAGAGGTTGCCCTCTCAGCACCTGCCACCAAAACAGGTAGCTGGAAKTAGATGGGCCTGAGCAGGGAGGCATTGCCTTTCCCAGGGGCTTCCTGAAACTTGTAGCCCGTGCCTGTAAACTGGGTAGGTCAGGTATTACTGGAGCCCTTCTGTCTGTAGGTATGGGTGCTGTCCTGATGGAGTATCATCTGCCCAGGGTCCAAACAACATGGGATGCCCACAATATAACCGGGACTTTCAAATGAGACAAAATCATCCCACTGCGACCACTCCAGCAGTAAGTACAAAAGCTTTTTGCATTTTAGGAGTTCATCAGATTCAAAGATTCAGATTTGACCCTGCTGACTCACGTTGTGGATTTCTGTTGGGCTTCATCTTTGCCAGTAATGGTGAAGAACCAATACTCCAGGCATAGCATCAAGCCCTTTGGCCCATCTTTCTCCTGTTCAGTCTGGAGCATCCACCTGCAATCCTCTATAAGCAGGGTACAGAGCAGGTGGTGGGGAGATGTCTGAGAAGCAGGAGGCCATCCTATGTAGAGCTCTTTGAATAATCCCAAGTAATCAAATTTCTGTTGGTCAGAAAATRGCTATCCAATTTCTAGGGGAAAAAAAGGGAAAACCATGGCTTCTATAAATTGTTTTTCTTTGTCAACTCTGCAGATTAATTCAAGGCAGGGAGGTGATCCCTTCCATAGCTTGGGGTGCCAGCAGTAAGAACTGGCAGAGAAGTAAAACCCCGGCTCCATGGCTGACAGCCAAATTTCCCACCCATTCCCAGCACAAAAGCCTCTGGGAGGCAAACAAACAGTGGTGCCTCTAACAGCTGGCTGTGTGCAGCCAACACTTGCACACGGTGCCTCATATGTGCTGCTGTGCTCATGTATGATGGTAACCCTTGGCTTTCCATTCCTGTCTCGAAGGCAAGCCAAGCCTTGTCCCAGCAGCATCCCTCGGGCGAGTGCCGCGGCTCCGTGTACGGCTGCTGCTTTGACAATGTCGCCTCAGCCGCAGGTCCTCGAGGGGAAGGATGTCTCAATAGGCCCAACTACCGTAAGTGATGCTTTGGATTCTTGGCTTAGAAACACAGAAATGGTCCAATAGCATATAGAAGCTCCCTGTGTCGAGGTTCTGCCCTCTGCAAAATGCAGTAAATTATCTCTCTGGAAATAATTTCTGCCTGATGGTTGGGGCAGCAGAAGCTTGGAGGGAGTGTAGAAAAGAAGCCAGAGGGTTCAGCTCTGTCAGCTGCCGCAGAAATTCTTGTTGTCCTCTGCTGATAATTGGACAAAAGTATGTTTGTATGATCTCTCTCAGTCTGTAGGACTACTGGGGAGCTGTTTGTCCCTGAGAAGACACTCTGATGCAGCCTGGAATGCTCCACATTCATTACCCAGGTTTAGGAGAAGTAGGGATCCCCTGAGGAATCAGGGCAGTGCACAGCCTTCAGACAGCCTGTGGACAAGGAAGGAAAGAGAACTACATAGGGAATGAGAGGTTGCKCAGGGCTGCATGGATGCCCTCAGCCAGCAAATTTCAATCCAGTGCCTGCTGTACTATGAGGACACGCGAGCTGCCAGGCAAAAGCATCTCTGTTCCTTTAGTGCTGAGTTGTACCCTCTGCAGGCTGCTGCAGTGCCTTGCCCTCCTGCTGCAGTACAGAGATGGCTCTAGGTAGGTGGCTTGAAGCACCTTTCTGCTTTGTGACCCTCACATGTCCCTCTGTTCCGTTCCTTTTGGTAGCCTACCCTGTCATGTGCCTGCTGCCCAGTGCCCATGGCCCCTGCACCAACTGGACCACTCGCTGGTACTTCGTGGGAGTTGTTGGCAAGTGCAATCGGTTTTGGTATGGTGGCTGTCAGGGCAATAAAAACAGCTTTGCCTCGGAGGAGGAGTGCATGAGAGCATGCCACAGCTCTGTGGGGGTCAGTCATCTGGAGCACCAGCCGTCTCCTGGCACAGGAGCCCTGCAACACCAGCAGACTGGCTCCCGTTCTCACACAGGGCATGCTCAGGGTCAGCAGCAGTCACCCACCAGAGAGTCTGCAAGTCATAGCCAAGAAGGAAGAACCTATGGGGCCTCACAYCCCACACAAGACAGCCACAGACAGAACAGCTGGAGAAGGGACATGCTGCCAGAGTCCTTGCCAAGGACCGGTRTGCTGGAGAGCCAGCGCTGGGACATCCGGCGGAGCAGACTGGACAGCCTGGGCCAGCTGCGATCCCGGGAAACAGCAGTGCCTGGCCCCTTGGAGAGGCAGAGCAGCAGTGGCCAGCAGGTCCTGCCCCARGAAGGCAAGCAGTGGCGTAAAGCTTTCGGAGCAGATGTTTCCATGGCAGAGGGATTTGGGCACCAGGAGTCTGCAGACTTGTTCCCAGCACAGGCTCTGCACAGGTGATGAATTCCCCCCCTCCCCATCCTGTTCTGCCAGCTGGTTGTGAAGCATCAGTGCAGCTTTCTCTGGAGTGAAAATGTCCTCCAGCTGGGACCAGCTAACCGGGARTACGGTGTGATGGATTAGGTACACTTGTGGCTCTTTGGTAAATCATGTCACTGTTATTCACGTCCTGACATTACCTGCAGTCTCTTTCCTTGCATTCTCCCTGGTCTCTGACAGCACTGAAATATGATGTGTGAAAAGACTGCAGAATCCTGGCATCTCTGTCTGGGAGGCYTTCTTACACTGTAAATGAGAATCCATAGGTGTTTTTCTTGTTCTGACCAACAAATTTAGCTGACTCTCTGACTTCAGAGCCTTTATCTCAGCACTGCATGGAGCAGTGGTGCATTGTTCTAGGGAAGACTCTTAAGATGCAGAGTTTGGGTCAAGATCCAGTAAATGTTACCCTGAAAATCAGGAGTGGTAGAGCTAGATCTAAGCATGTCTGTACTGCATCTGTGTCTGTCTGCTGAGTTGAACCTTATTATTTCAGAAGAGAGGGGTTATGGGGCTTTCTTCCAGGAGATAYTGTCACATTCAGTCTGTCCAGAGTGGCTTTTGCTGTATAGGAGGGGCCTCCCCATGTTGCCTTGTGCATCTGCTCAGAGCTGAATGGGCARCTGCTCCTGCTTTGCCTTGTGGTTGTAACTCATCCAGAATCACATTAGAGGTCACAGAGGTGAGGAGAGCAGCAGAAGTGCCAATGGAATCACTTTCTCTTTCAGAACAATCCTGGAAGAAGCCAAGCCCTCTCTTGTGACAGCAGTTGTGGGACAAAACATCCAACTGGTCTGCAAGACAGACATGTCGCCCCTCTCCAGAGTGGARTGGATGAAGAACAGCCGACCGGTCTCCACTGACAGGTGAGCTCAGCTCCCTTCATTGTAGAGCAGATGGGCTCCTTGCTGGGCAGAGTGCCAAATACGCAATCCGAAAGGGACTGACATGGTCTCACCCCAGCTGGCAACTCAGGCCCACAGAGCTGCTYACTCACCCCTGGTGYGATGGGGGAGAGAATCAGAAGGGTAAAAGTGAGAAAACCCATGGACTGAGATAAAGACAGTTTGAAAGATAAGACAAAAGCCGTGGGAGCAAGCAAAGCAAAACAAGGAATTCATTTACCACTTCCCACAGGCAGGCAGGTGTTCAGCTGTCTCCAGAAGAGCAGGGCCCCATCACAASTAACAGTGACATGGGAAGACAAATGCCATCACTCCGAACGTCTCCTCCTCTCTTCCCCAGCTTTACATCCTGGGCATGATGCCATATGGTTTGGAATATCCCTGTGGTCTGTCAGGGTCAGTTGTCCCAGCTGTGTCCCCTCCCAGCTTCTTGTGCACCCACAGCCCACTGGCAGGTGGTGTGAGAAGCAGAAGAGGCCTTGACTTAGTGTAAACACTTCCAGCAGTAGTGAAAACATCAATTCTGTTTTCAGCACAAATCCAAAACACAGCCACATACCAGCTACTGTGAAGAAAATTAACACTATACCAGCTGCAACAGGCACACTTTTTTTAAAAGGAAAGAAATAAAGAAGCCCATGCATTTATCTAAGGGTGTGAACTGTCCACCTGCTCTGTACACAGCAGAAACAGAATCTGCACCAGTGATGAGATGTTGGCTAGAGTTACAGGGCAGAACAAGTGCTGTCCCATAACRCTGGTGGAAGGCTGAAGTGTGGACAGTGATGCAGAAAAATGTTGCTTTTCTTGGGGTAGCACTGAGTCAGTAGCTGGGGTGAAACTTGCAGCCTAATAACCCAGAGTTCTTCTGGCTGAAAGTCTCTGGCATACATTATTTTAAAACTACTTCTAAACCTGTTTTTCCTGAGAAGTCTGTTTCCAGCAAGAGTTCGGAGCCAGTCAGTCCCTTTGTATTATGAAAATCACAGTTAAGAAAAGCCCAGTTATGCTTTTCTGTTTGCAATTGACTGCTGGGACTCAAGGTCCTCCCTGGAAGGGCRGTTTGCCTCCTCATGGGAGAGGGCAAACTGAAAAGAGAGAGCTGAAAGCAGTTCCCTGTTTTCCATCTCAGTTTTTCCTCTGTGTTCCTGTTTCTGCTGCAGTTATTTCCCCTGCCTGTGACCCCTGTGCGGTCAGCAGTGTTGTGGTTTTTTCTAAGCCCGGGAGGGCACTGCATGGGGAGGGTTCGTGCAGCAGTGGCCGCAGGGTCGCTCTGCCTTGGCTGGTTGCTGTCGGTGGCCAGGCAGAGGCAGCAAACCCCTCCCATGTTGCAGGCACACCTACCAGTCCGACAGCTCCCTGTGGATCAGCCACGTCGAGCCCGAGGACGCTGGCACCTACACGTGCCTCACTTCTGATGGGAAGACAGAGAGCCGACGGATTCAGCTGCAGATCRCAGGTGAATTATCTTCTGCTCGAGACCAGACAGGCAGCTCTGGGTTCCTCATTAATGGTTCTTGACTGCAGGCTCAATGAAGTCAGCTGCAGGGGTAGTCTGCTGCCAAGAGGTAATGTGGAGGCAGCAGGGCCTCTTTTGGTGTTGTATCATGATAAAGCCTTAGCCCTAAAGCACTTCCTCCCCTGCAGTGCCACCCCATAACTGGAGTTGTGACCTGCCTGTGTCCTGCCCTGTTTCCAGCACAGTGAGCTTGTCTTCCTCCCTGAGAGCCATCAGCTGTCTCCTGATCCAAAACATAACTGCTGGTGCATTTATGTTTTGTGTTTTGTCCAAACAGGTCCTGCTGGGTAACAAATGAGTCCCTGTTCTGAAAAAACATCCCTTATTTAAAAAAAAAAAAAAAAAAAAAAAAAAAAAAAAGACTAGTCTCAAAAGGGGCCAGGAAGGCACTCTGTAATCCTCAGTCTCTGAAGTGTGCTTTGTCACAGCAATGGCACATGGGGCAGAAGGCACTGTGGCCTAAGGGATGTTGCAAAGTGTTCACCGACGGAGGAGAGAAAGGAATCTGAAATTGCGTGCCTGCAGGTCTGTGACTCTCATTAGTAGACAGTGCAGGTTTACTGCACTAGTCAGCCAGAAAGCAGATGGCTGAAGGGCTCTTTGGCTCCAGTTCAGCAAGCTCTCCCAAGCTCACAGAAGCCCTGTGCAAAAGGTCACAGTAAGAAGTGTCCTTCTATTCACATATGGCATTTTGTTTTGAATAGAGTACCAGAGCACTGTTGGAGCAGAGGGTGAGAGAGCTCGGGTCCTTCACAAGGCAAATCAGCAGCAGCGAGAGTTGCCCAGAGGCCGGCAGGTTGTGCAGACAGCCGGCTCCTCCGTGCATCAGCAGCTCACATACAGGTGAGTTCATGTACAGCAACAGTTTGCCCACCGTGCCCAGCTGATGAACCATATGGCATCTCTTCATGTAGAAAAGCTGAAGATTGGAAAGGTCCTGGGTCAGCTGTTCCAGGACACGGTTGGGAAGCAGGCAGTACTGAACTGCTGACAACRGGAACGGGAGAAGATCCCAGTCGCAAGCTGTCTTCTATCCTCCCCGAGGGTCTCTTGAAAGAAGCACATTCTGAGCGAAGATAGCCTGGGAAGCTGGCAGCAAAGGAGCTGGGTTCAAACAAAAGGAGTATCGGGGCAGCATCCCTAGCTGTTCAAGTTTGTGTAAGGCAGAAGGAGAAACCTTTTCTGAAAAAGAACCAAAGCAAATAGGAGCTGCTTAACTAGCACAAAATAGACATATATATATTGAAAATAACTTCAGTTACTGTACCCTCCACTAATTAATTGTAAAAAATTTTGTGAACAAACTGGTTTGACCCAAAACTATTTTGTCATATACTCGCATATTTTGTAGATTCTTGTAGGTTTTTCGGTGCTTCTAGACCCCACAGAAATAAAAGGGGGCAGATTATTTTTGCCTTAAATGCAGCATATTGGGTTTCCAGATTAAATAGGGCCATGATCTGATCCCTCTCCTTTTTTGAGTTTGCAGCCTAAAACCCAGCCAATTTGCTGAACTCTGCAGCAATCTCCTTAGCTGCTTCTGCCTAAAAGCAATAATAAGTGATTCATTGAATTAAGAACATTTATTTTTTGAGATCAAGAATTCAGGTCATAGAATGGGGGTAGGGGAGATGACATTATATTTAACTCTGGAAACATCATGGTTTAGTTCCCTTCTAAGACAGTGTTCAGCTATAATTCTAAGACAGCAAAAGCATGAGATGACTTTTGTGAGAGCCTGACCTCGACCTTTCTGCTGCATGAAGTGGGCGCCCAGCTTCCGGGCCCTGCGTGCAGTCAGGTGATTGCAATAGGCTCTTCACACCCAGAACCACACATTTTTCTGTGCCAGATAAGGACCTAGGGGGAAGCTTGCTCAGTGCCCTGTTKAAGACTTTGTACTGTTTGCCACGTGTTCACATTAATGCTTCCTCAGCTGTTATCCAGAGGTTTGCTATAAGAGCCAGTTTTACTGTAATGGGTTAAGCTGTCTGCACAGCAGTGCAGCACCAAAGTGTGTTGAACTGGAGCAGGATTTGATAGAGACTGCTCTTTCCTGAACATTGGGAGTGAATGTTGGTAATGGCAAAYGCCAGAGCTCTGATGGGAATGCAGAGACCTCCCTTTGCTGTTGGAGGCAAAAAATAAGGCTTGTGATTAAAAAAGCCTTGGGCTGAAGGTCAAATGCTGAGCAAGGAAGTTTCTACATCTTTTGCTGTGCTTGTGATCTTTGCAGGTTGAAAATGGATAAGAGCGAGCCCACAGTATTGGAGGCCAATGTTGGGGAGAGAGTCAGACTGCCCTGCACTGTGGAAGCATCACCAGCTCTCACCATTGAGTGGCAGAARGACGGGCAGCCCCTCTCCTCTCCCAGGTGAGCTCCCAGGCAGCTCCAACCTTTCATGAGAAGAGCCTCCTCCTCGCCTTTCATTCCCTGTCTCCTCCCTGAGAGAACAGAGCTGTTGGCCATGCAGCGAGGACCTGTCTGGCTTTTTGCTGTCCAGCTTCTTCCATCAGGGCCAGGTTGTAMTACTGGCCTGCCCTGTCCTCCCTCCCTCACAGATGGAAGTTTGAGCATTGAACCCTTGAGGGAACAGCTGTGACACAGGGTCTACAAGTGAGCCAATGCTCAAATGTATTCATCTACAAGGTTGGCAGAAAAAGAACACATGGCAAGCAAATTTGCCAAAAACCAGTTGGTCAGTGAGCAAGGGCAGAACTTGACAGCAGAGAGAGATCAGGGAGTATGCAGTGAACTTCCACAGTATTGGTGCTGCTCTCCCCTCACCCTACTCCTAGCATTTGCTAGGAATTTGCTCTAGCAGCAAGCTTTTCCAGAGTCTACAGCMCTAGTGCTGGGGTTTGAGAACTAAGTGTTGCACAACCCCTGCAGCATTTGAGCTGCTAAACCTTTGCTCAGTGGTACTGCAGAGTTGTGCACGAGGCTTATATTCWTCTCTCTGCTGCCTGGGGACCCATCCTGAGCCAGGCACAGGCTGAGGGACATTCTGGTTTTGTTCCCAGGCACAGGCAGCAGTCAGATGGGGCCCTGGTGATCAGCCGGGTCAGCTCTGAGGACATCGGGTTCTTTACCTGCATTGCCTCCAATGGACGTGACCGTGACCAGCGCCAGGTCCTGCTCCGACCTCTAGGTACTGGATGGGTGGAAGCACACATGGCACATGTGCACAGGAACGGGAAACAGGGAAGGCTGTGCAGGGAAAGGGTGGGTTTCCTCGCTGGCCATGCCTATTTGCTTTACACCTAATGTTTAATGGGCATCCTGAGGACAAGGGAAGAGTGAGTGTTTTTACCCRATGGTCATCTGCATGTGTCCAGTACATCGTGGTGCTCTAGACAGCTGGGAAAAGGGATTGATAATACAGTAAGAGTGACTCTCAGGGCCTTGTTTCTGGGACACTGGTGTGGAATGAGTGTAAGAGCAACAGAAACTAAGGAAATGGTTCTTCTGTACATGTGACATGCATGTGTCCAGCKGGAGGAAAAAGCTCTTGGAGGCCTCTGCTACTTGTCCTTTCTTGGGCCAAAGTCCTAGGAAGTCCACATTCCCCCTAGCAGCAACGGCACAGCCTCAAATATGCTGTTTCAAGGCCCAGGGGCTTGTAGCTCATCATGGAATGTGCTGGACTTTTCCCATGAGGGAATGCTCCTACAACAGGGGGAGCATGACATTGTCTCCCTGCTAGTGTTGATTTCCCTTCTGGTCTAGGAGAGCTGAGAATCACTGGTCTTCTGCCAAGCATCACAGTACCTGAGGGAGGGACTGCTCAGCTTCATTGTACAGTGAYTGGCAACAATGTGAATATAAGGTGGTCAAGGTGAGCAAAAATTAGATGGAACTTCCCTTTCCTTCTCTTCCCAAACCTCATGATTTACCCTCTAAATACCAATGGAGAGTGCCTGCCAGGTGTGGCAGAGACCACAGTTAACAGCCCCAACTAGYATTACCTACCCTTTATTAAAACACCTTGGATGTTACCTAAAAATCCCGGGCAAGACACCTGTGGGGTGTGGAGGTCATCAAGTTCATGTTCCAGCCAAATAAAGAGGAAAGCAGATGTTAAACTAAAATTTTATGGAGTTGAGAAGGGCTCTGTGCTGGAAAACTAGCATCGTGAAAATAACAAGAACTAAAATGAGTAATCAGAGGAAAATCTTTTAGTTGCTTTTTAAAAACCCTTTCTGTSTAATCCTGACAGACATTTTAAGCCCTCTTCTCTCAGTTTCCTGCTGCAACAGTTCTCTCTGTGTACTGTCAAGTGGGAGCAAAGGAGATTTAGAAGCATTTTAAAGGGAAAAGCTGTGTCCTTTTATCTTGATAGTTTACTGGGAAACTCTGAATTTGTGTGTTTGGTGAGGGTTGTTTTTCCTGTTTGAAAATAATCAGTTCTGCTTTGGARCCTTCTTATAAACTGTCCTGAGAGAGGGACTGGTAAGTGTTGAAATTCCTGTACTCCCAGGGTTAGGACTGAAGTGGCCCATCTCACACATTTCTCCTTAAGGAAGAAAAGAGAACTTTTCTTCCATGCATAAGTTTGGTACTTGAGCTAACAAAATGATGCATGTTTCAGCGTTGGAATGAACCCCTTTTCAGTGAAACAAATTTCATTTTGTTGGTAACCAGGAGTTCATAATTCAGGCAGTTTTCCTGCTGGACACAGATTATCCCAGGAGGAACTGAAGAGACACAATCTTGCTGGTTTATTAAACAAACTTTTAAAGGGAGAGGAAAGAGGGCACATTGTTCACTACCCCATATGCTCATCGAGCAATATGTGCTATCAATGCCAGCCAAACAAGTACTGCCAGACCACAACTTGGAGAAAGGGAAAGGCACACTGGATTTTCTCTTAGCTCCTCAAACCTCAAGAATGTGTGCTAGTGTAAAGGGCAGTGTTTTTGCATAGAGCACACAGACACAGCTACCTCCCACACAGACATTGGGCAAGGGATGCACACTTGCTCAGGCTCATGTTTCCCCCCAGTTGTAGGGCCAGGTTGTGTTTTCTGCCTGCTGTATTTGTTAAAATTCACCCCTTTCACAGAGCATCCTTTTCCAAAGAGCACAGGKAGTTTCTTTAGCTCCCATGGGTGGCAATAGTGAAACAAAATGTTTTTCACCACAGGAATGGAGTCCCCATGCGGGGGGACGGCCACCACATCCACCTGTCCCAGGATGGAAGCCTGACTATAAGCAACGTCCAAGAGGCTGACGAGGGATCCTACACATGCAGTGCCTACAGCAGCAGCAGCTCTGTCAGTGCCAGCTCGGAGGTGAAGGTGCTGAGGAGCAGGCCTAGCAGTGAGTACAGCCTGGCTTTCCTGCTTCTCCTGGCACAGTGCCCAGCCCTTGGCTGCTACTGCACCCATTGTGTGCATCAGTCCAGCACTGACCTCGGGCTTTGGGGAGCAGCAGGAGCCMTGCCTTCCATGGACAGAAAGGCAGRATGCTGGAAACACCCCCTGACCAGGGCATTGGGAGCCTAATTAACTTCCTGAGGCCAAAATGCTATAGTTGGTTGACCAAATAGTTGGTTGCATTTTTTGTAGTTGGACTTTGGACACCATCCAGTTGTCCTTACATAGAGGGTAGGTAGAGTGGTCTCTCCCTCTCCCTGGAAATTGCATTCCCCTCCTGTATCTCACCAAAGATGTCCATTCATCTTGAATCTCATCATCTCCTTCTTGATGCTGGACTAAATTTAGATCTGGTGGGTTGGAGGAAGTGGGAACGTGGTGTCTCTTTTGCGAGGGAATAGTAATCCAAGGACTAATTTACAGCTGGTTTACCTTTTGCTTGGCTGCAGCTACTGTGAGTCATGCTACAGACCTGAGCAGAGAGTGTGTGGACCAGCCTCACCTTGCCAACTGTGACCTGATCGTGCAGGCCCAGCTGTGTGCTAACGAGTATTATTCCAGCTTCTGCTGTGCCAGCTGTGCCCGCCACCGCCCACAGGGCAGCGCCCCGCACCCCCGCGGGTGACAGCCACGGCCACCGTGACCGGTGACAAGACGTCTCAGCTCTGTTCTTTTACTGCAYGGGACTGTTCAAGGAACTCTGCCCTGCTGGAAAGCTCAAGAGGGTGAAATGAAGAGTGTATAGTGGGTGTAAATGTTCAAAGGTGGGAGACCCACCACCCTCAGGTTTATTGTGAACTCCTTTTCCCYGCTGTGTGCCTTGCTGTACCTAATCCATCTCTTAAGGGTAGTTGCTGTCATTTCACAGATCCAGATGGTGCTAGGAATGTAAGGATGATGTGACTAGAGAGGGCAGATGACCAGCGTCAAAGAGGGAGAGATCAATTCTTTATACAAACAAGAGAGAGAAGTGCTCTTAAAAAATAATCTCTGAAGTGTTTGAAGATGGGCCTGAACCATTTCAGCCGAAGTCCTAGTGATGATGAACATTTGTTCCTTCAATGAGCATTGTTGAACAAGTGCTCCTGGGGAGCACTTTCCATCTAAATGCAAAGGACTCTGGCCACAAGAAACAGCTTGATGCATACAAAATTGGCGTTCAGGTCCTATGAGATTACTGGCTCTAGGGATGCAGATGTAATGTCATGTGTTACTCTAGCTGTTTTATTCCAGTAGACCTTAGACAAATTTCTAGTATGATCAGTTTGGTTTCTACATGACTGCAATCAGCTTCAGCGTAAAATGCAGAAGCARTGCTTCACACAAAGCTTAAGACAAAATAGAAAACTACTTTTCACCCTTTCTGAATGTTAGGGGTACTTTAAATGAAAATACCAACACTGTTACCCGTTCTGAGATGCTGCAATTTAAATAGCACTCATTCCAGGAAGGCTCAGCAGGTAATTTTTTTGCCTAGCCAGAACTGTGCTGTTCTGACGTTGTGCTGAGTTTGGGCAGGGACTAATAATACACACATAGAAATACRTGTGTAGGGGAATTTGACTTGCCACAGCAAACCCTCCAAGGATCAGCTCTAGTCTCACTTAAACCCACGAAAGCCTAGCTCTGCATGCTGCTGCTATGGGCTAACAAATTAGGACTGCCAGATGCAGAGCAGCTGTAGCTGAAAAGCATCTCCATTTCAAGACCAACATGGAGTGGTAGCAAGTGTGCATCTGTGGCTCTGAAAATCTCCAGCATTAGGGGTGGGGAGATTATATCATATCATGTTAAACCAGTAAAGACCCTTGGGTATCTTCAGTATCTCAAAATGGAATTACTTCTGAGCAAAAGCATTCATTTGCAGCCTCCACACTATTGTTCTACCCTAGCATCAACYCTGACAGTCCCCTTCCTCCTCATTTTAAACTATCTACTGAGACTTGGATGGATTGATCATAATTATTAGCACCATTACCCATGTATTATTTGCATAGATATAGCTATAAACTAGTAGACTGATGTGTAGATGTTGATGTTGATTGGGCGGATGGAGGATTTTTTTTTTTTTTTTTTTTTTTTTTTTTTTTTTTTTTACATTTTGTCTTCTGCTTTTGTTACTTTAAGCCTTCTAAGAAATGCAGCTAATTCTGACTGTGCTCACACCACTCTCCTCTCCTTCAGTCCTGACTCAGGACCCATCAGGGCAGCAGCAATCCCTGTAAAGGTGTAAATCCGCAGGGTTGACAGCCTAGAGCTGTTTTGTACTCTAAACCCCATAAATCAGTTCACATGGACCTAAAAATAAGAATTACTGACCTAATGACTGCACTTTCCTCAGCACAGGTATGGTTCAGGACTGGACACAATGCTTTACCGTGTGAACAAACGGAGAAGCCTAGAAGCAATCCAGTACAGGAGCAACACCCGAGCTGTTTGGGGCTGGGTCCTTCTGTGGTCTGATAGACTATGGTTGTTAGGAAAGAAAAAAATACTTATTTTGCAGTTAAGACCCTTTAATTTGATTAGGGAAAATTTCCTCTGCTGGAATGCAGAACAGGCATTGCAGTATAAGGTTTGAAGTGGAAATCATTGGATATTAGCAAACAACAAGATGGTCCTGAAAACTTCCACTTGCATTTGTATGTATTTTTGCATTTAATATCTCAGACCAGCACCTTTTCTTCTGTGTGTGCATGCATAGGGTATTTTAGCATTTTAGTTTATAATACATTTTTTTGCCTTTGGAGACCAGGGACTAATCTGAGACTCTGTAATTCCAGTCATATTGAAGCTCTCTCCATTCATGTATGACAGTGAGAGGTAGTCAAGGTCCTGCCCTGCTCAGGAGCATGGTTAGAAGTTGCTTGAGGATGTATCAGACCCTTTTGCCCCAAAGTAGCCAGTTCTCTAAAATCYCCTTCTACTATGTCAGAGGCTTTATTTTTAGAATATTTAAATATTCTGTGTAGTCAGCTGTTATTTAAACTCTGTTGTTATAGAAGATGGATCCAGGAAGTATTTTCTCCAGGCTTACAAGGGCTGTAACAGCTCCCTGCCTCCTGATGGGCAGGACTTTAACAGTGGAAGTGCTTTGGTGAGTGGGGAGTTCATCCTGACCTCCTTTCATCTGCACTATCGTGGCAGGAATGGTGGGAGTGACAGGCATGCAGATTCCTGCTGTAAATCCATGCCAGTACTGCAAAAGTTAACTAAAGGATCTTTACATTTCTCCTAACAAGATCAGCTTCTCCCTCTCTGTAGTACCACTTAATCGCCTACTCACAGTTTACTTTTTTTATGTGAGAATCAAGATGTTCATTTTCTTCCCTTAACAATGGATTGTAGGAAGTGCTTAYCTCCAGGGCAGGAGAAGGGTGTAGCTATACTGGGCTATTTTCAGCTTGATCTTGGGGCTCTTACTGTGAAAGATACTAACTGCTTTCTTTCCTACTATAAATGTCTATACTTGTTTGCTTTTTGAAAGCTGAAAAAAAGCACTGACACCAACTTGAATACCACAGCGAGTGTTTGCATTACTATTCATATCATACTGAGCACAGGCAAGAATCTGTAATGTCAAAAGTTGTCATTTTCTAGACTGTCACTGTAAGACTCACTGTACTGGCCTGGAAATGGAAACTGCTGGCAAGCCCAAATCCTAGGGCCAAACAAAGGAAGCGTTTCTTCCCCTTCAGGTTACAGAGTCTGACTTTCTTCCTTTTGTCCAACCTGACGTGGTGCCTGCTAAGAATGTAGGAAGACCCAGTCACTCTAACAGGGTAGGTAACAGCTCACTGGAAGAATGCAAAAGATGTATTTACACATCATCACCTCATATGGCTTTTTTTCCAGTAGTAGGGCAAAGAAAAAAATGTTTTCCTTTTTGCCCTTACTGATTGCTACTGTCCTCATCTTTGTCTCTTTGTAAATATTGACTGATAGAAAACACAGCCATGCAAACCCTGAATCTGATGTTTTCAGCAAAGGCTCTATTTTAGAGCTTTAAGTGGTTATGGGCCACAAGAATATTTTGAAATTGTCTTAAAGTTCAAGGCAATCTAACAGGTGGTAGAAAATGAGAGGTGTTAAGACATTATTCTTAGGCTGCTAGGTTGGCAAGCAGGGCTCATCCATATTCACTTTACAAGACAGAAGATACCCAGAAGGGCAAATGCTGAAATCTGAATTCAGGTGGGAAATAAAGCTCTTCCACACAGTGCTTCTACCACCAACATTTATTTCTGTTAAAGCAGATTATAAATCATCAGTACAAATATATATAACTTACATTTGCTTGTAAGGCCAAAGTTTAAAAGTAAAGTTAAAATGAGATGGTTTTCACAAGTCACCAGAGGCAGAACCTGGACCAGCTGCAGCCTTAACCACAAGGTTTCACAAATCAGTGGGAAAAAAAATAAAACCAAAGTTAAAAACCTCTAAGAACTATTGACAGACAAACATAAAATGGTTTCCCAGGCAGCCCTAGGATGTAGATATGATGACAGTAAGTTGTCACAGTAGTGTTAGAACCAAAAGATTAAGACAAATAAACTGCAGCAATATATGAAAGGAAAAAAAACCCATACTATATAGAATATGTAGATTGATTCCAATAAAAAACAGTAAATTCTCCCCATGGTTTTCAAACCATGACAATACTGTTCTTTAATCTTCTTTATTTAAAACTACGATATAATGACTTATTGGTTGTGATTGTTGTTGCAATATGCTACTTACAATGAACAGATACAAGAACAAGCTAGAGCCCCTTTTTCCACCCCCCCAATATTACTTACAATAAGAATCAGCGATAAATCAATCTTATGTACAATTTCTTACATCCAACCCCCTTTTTTTTAACCTTTGGCAAGATTACTTACAACTCATACAGCTTTTAATATCCAACTATTTAAAATATTCTAAATGCATAAAAATAAAGATTTTGGCTTTACTTTATTCTTTACATATAATATTCACTTTGTTACTCAAAATGGAAGCTCAACTTTTTCCACAAACCTAGCTTTTGCTAAGGTGACAACATCCCACCCACATCCACCACCCCCCACCCAATTTTTTCCTGARGGGGAACATCCAGGACTTGCAGGGCATCAGGAGGACACAGGTACAAACATCTGCCTTCCTTTCTGTGAGATGATTGATGTTTCTGTAGCACAGGCTTTGGGACTGGGTGTCTTTCTTTGCTCCATTTGACTTCCAGCTTTCCAAGTGAGGAGGGAATGCAAACTGGGGTGGCTCCAGGATTCCTTTTAAGAACTGCACATTAAATTCTCTGTGTGTTTCCATCCTCCCCCTAATTGCTCCCTCTTTCTAACCCATTTTTATTTGAAGGGACCTTTGGGATTATCAAAGCAAACCGATCAGAAACAGTCCCCTCTGCTTGCTCCCTTTATCCCTCTATCCTAATGTACAATTTATCCACCCCCGCCCAGGACCGCTTAAAGTTCAATCTCAAATGTCTTCTGTAGGTCACTGGAGAAGGGGTTGGTCGGGGAGGGATTGGTGCGCTGCTTGGCCTTGCTCTCCAGAGCTGCCCACTGGGCCTCGAAGGGATCAACCTGCGGGGCGGGCRCGGGGGGCTGCGAATGCTTGTCCTCGGCAGCCCATTTGCCCCCCTCCACCCCGTTGAAGGCGGCGGAGCCGTTGTGCTGCGCGGGCGGGTGGAAGAAGGGGCTGGCAGTGGCGCTGCTGCTCTCGTACTGAGCTGCTGCTGTCGTGCTGGGCTGCTGCTTCACCAGGCTGGGGGACTGATGAGGGTGCGCTGCTGGAGTGTGGCTGGCAGTACCAAAGACGTTGGCTACCATCTGGGAAGGTGTGATTCCAACCACAGGGACGCTCGGGGCTGCATAGGTCATCCCATTTGCTACGGCGTAGGGCTGAGCTGRAATAAACGCCGGCTGCATGGGCGGTACCACACCCACCGGCACAGGCTGAGGCGCAATGAAGGTGCTGACTGGGAAGGCTGGTGCTGACTGCGAGGCTGGAGCTGCTGGAGGGGGCTGGAGCAGTGGCTGTGGGGCTGGGGCTGAGGTTGGCTGCTGCTGGGCTCTGACAGTCTTTGAAACCTCTTCCAACCAGCGGTCTGCCTCTGAGGGAGTACGTCTGTGATTTCCTTGGAAGAGACTTGGCGAGGCCGCACCTGAGGAGGTGCTGCTCCATTCAGTGCCTGGGAGGGAAAGCATGGGCAARTCACTATTATTTCCACTCCTCACCCTTTATGGGTTAGAAAGGTTGGAGGGTGTACACAAGAACACACAGGCCTCCTCCCATCATGACTGAAAGATGTTTCCAACACTGGACACATCTTTATGCATCCACTGTACTCTTGGGTTCTAGGAAGACATTTGTCAAGATGAGGTAGGTAAGAGCTTCTTTGCTAAAATGCAGATTTATGGGGTTTTTTCCTTCACARAACACATCTGAGGCTTTAGGGCACACAGGAAAGCTGCTACCTGAACTCTTAACTTGGTGACAAYGACCTAGTCTGTAACAACTAATCCCCCTAAACTGGAGAGATTGTTTCTGCATGTACAGCTCACAACTAGTGCACTTGGAACACAAAGGTCTAAGAAACTGCTTTAAAGACAAAATCTGGTACTCTTACAAGGCCAAGCAGAATCACTATTTCACAGCAAAGTTTCTCTCATGGGCTGGTGCTTACACCATGAAACGAAGTTACTTAGACTACAGCCTTCTAGCACATGTTAGCCCACACAGGTGACAGCCATCTCAGATACTGCCTTACACAGTGCAAAGCCTGAAGGGACAGACTAAACTTGCTAAAAAGAATAAATTGACCTCTACACCCTTTAAGCAACCAACTTAATCCCTCCTTGTGTATGTTAGTGAAAAGAACACACAAAAATTAATTTGGGTACACATAGATTCTTTCCTTTTCATACACACAAACTCACATACAACTTCATTACTTCCTTTTTAAGCACTGAATTTTATAAAATGCTGCCAAAATAAGAACCAGCCCAGGTTATAGACCCAGAACCAGCAAGTTCATCRCTTCCCTCCATCCACTCATGCAAAAGGCTACTACTTCCGGCTTTTGTTCCTGTTCCTTCCACTTGCCATTAAATGGCACTGACAATTGTCTCAGGGGCTCAATTATGCTTTTGATCCAAGTTCTCATAGCAATGCACCGGATCTACTTCCAATCTTACCAGCGACCATGGCTGCAGCTCCAGTATTAGCAGCAGGAGCATGAGCCCAAGGATTGGTTTCACGAACTGGCATAGCTGTGGACACTACAGCAGCTTGGGATGGTTTAGCAGCAAGCACACAGAAGGCAGAGGCAGTGCCATTAACTAAAATGGGAGCAGACAACATCGGTGCAATTAATTCATGCAAGGCATGCACGTGACTGGAGTATTAGTGGGCCAGGTCAT